CTAAATATCAGTTATATTTCCTTCTGAATTTTATTTTATTTTGAAATATTTTAGCCGATTTTTGATGTATATCAATCAGATGTAAATCGGATATCAATCGGCTATAAATAAGATAGGTCAAATTTTAGCCGATTTTTGACGTATGCCAAACGGCAATAAGTATGCCAATCGGCTATAAATAAGATAGGTCGAATTTTAGCCAATTTTTGATGTATATCAATCGGATGTAAATCGGATGTCAATCGGCTATAAATAAGATGAGTCGAATTTTAGCTGATTTTTGATATATATCAATCGGATATAAATTGGACATCAATCGGCTATAAATAAGATAAGTCAAATTTTAGCCGATTTTTGACGTATGCCAAACGGCAATAAGTATGCCAATCGGCTATAAATAAGATAGGTCAAATTTTAGCTGATTTTTGGCCGATTTTTAATGTATGCCAATCGGCTAGGCCAATTTTTGATAATTTGCCAAATTTAGGCTGATTTTTCGCATGTCTGATTATTTTGATTTCAACCAGTGTATATCTATCTAAAATCTAGAACTGAAAAGCTAAAAGAAACATTTAAAAAAGAAAGTAAACAAAAGATTAAAATGAAGTAAAAAAAAGAATTTATTACTTTAGATCCAGTCAAAAAATCTAAAGATCTAAAAAAAAGAAAATAGTTATTAATCAATAATCAAGCGAAAAAATGAATAAAGAAAATGAAAGAATAAATTTATTGTTTAAGATCTAGCTAAAGAGCTTAAAGATCTAAAAAAAAAGAAAATAGTTATTAATTAATAATCAAGCAAAAGAATGAAATGAAGTAAAGAAAAGAACAAAAAGAATGAACCTACTATCTAGGATCCAGCTGAAGAACCTAAAGATTTAAAAAAAAAGAAAATGGTTGTTAATTAACAACTAAGCAAATAATTGGCTGTTAATTAACAACCAAGCAAAAGAATGAATAAAGTAAAAAAGAAAAGAAATGAATTTATCACCTTAGATCAAGTATTGAAAGATCTAAAAAAATAAAAAAAAATTGGTTGTTAAGACAATATAATAAAGATAAACTATAGATGTAATACAATACAATATAATAATTTTAATTTTTTAAAATTACATAATCATATATAAGCATATCTCTATACAATCACACCATAAGGTGATCCCGTGATTGTAAAGAGGGTCGACTGTATAAATCAAACTTTCTTTAACTTGCAAAAGTGGTATGTTGATTAATTTATACCACCATTGTTATATGATTGGCTGATAACATCTGTTTTTAAAATAGGCGATTAAGGGTTATATGATGTGAAAGGATTTGCTGTAACGTCGTTCTATTTAACTTTTTTTCCTCCGTTTGAATAGCCCGGAGATTCTAATCCTTAGAACGAAAAAACGAAGACATGGCCTTAATTGGTTTTTTTTTTTTGCTTGTGATGTTACTTGCGTTCAATATCAATAATAGGATAACAAAAGCTTTCATTAAGATTAAATAATTTTCACGACTTTTTTTTTACGTTTACTGCGGAACAACAAATTTCCTTTCTTGTAAACAAAAACAGAGAATCAAATGATCATCTTAATTTGTTTTAATTAAATCACAACTCAACAATAAAGGAAAAAATAAGAAAAAAAAACAAAGACACTAAATCCAATATATCATCCATAGTACAAAGTCTTTTTTTTTCATAACAATCGTTATCTCTTATATAAGTTTTTCCGGATTTTTTCATATAAGGTCCGGCTGAATTTTATTATATAAACCATTTGTTGACCAAAAAGAAAATAAACTGGTCAAGTTCGTGTGTTTGACTTTTTCTTGCCTTGGGGGTTTCTTTTTTTATTTTTTATATTCTATTTTACGGAAACCATTTGTAATATAGAGAAAACAGAATTTTTTTTTTTTTCTTTATTATTGCTAACGAATTTGTTTAAAAAATGGAATCCTCTGAAAACCCTAATAATCAAGAAACAACTATAAATGAAAATAAGGTTGAAATAACCGAAATAATTAGAACTTCGACTACCTCCGATAGTGGAGAAGAGTCTTCGGATAAAGGTTCTCCTGTAAAAATTTCACATTCAGATGCTGAAGAAAATATTGTAGTAGTTATTAAGGAGGGAGAGACCGTTACAGATAATGAAGTGATAACTGATGAGATTAATAATACTATTCAAATTCCTGTACTTGAAAATGTAACTCCAAATCCTGTAGATAATTTACCAGCTGGAGTTTCTGATGATGATAAACAAGATGAAGCCTCTAATTTAATTGTCAACTCTACTGTAGAAGATAAAGGAGTAGAAAATACTGAAACGATAAGTAACGATGAAGAAGATTTCGAAATTAAATCCGATGGCAAGGGCAATGATATCAATAGTGGAAACATCGGAAATCATGATGAGAATTCCATTGTATTTCCTGCTACGAATGATACCGAAGAAGGCTCAGTCAATATGGTTCATCATGAGAGGGGAAATCATATTTCAACTCAAACAATTGTTGGTCAAACCAACGTTTTAAGTGAGGAAGAAACTCGGCTAAATGATGATCCTAATAATGAAGAGAATCAAAATATTGATCTTCAAGATAATGCCAACTCTGACATTTCAAATTTGTCCGGAAATAAAATCAAACAAACCGAGAAAGTACCCTTTAAAGGATACGAGGAAATTGACGAGTCTAATACCAATGATTCAACAGATATAACACAGCCCAAGGATTTTAAGGATTATGATTCTGACAATGAACATAAAAACAAATCTGAAACTACGAATACATCAAACGAATCTATTGATCAAGAAAATCCTTTACCTAAGCAAAAACTTACTGAAACGGATACATTTGATTCAGGAAACCCATTTAACGACTATCAAAGTTCTTTTTCAAAACCTCAAGATGCTAGACATAAAATACAAGTCGTAAGACCTGTACGAGGCTTCAATCCCGATCATACGAGTTTAGAACCAAAAAAAACCTTCAGGGATGAAGTATTTCAAGCACAAAGAAACGAATATGACGTTGATTACGATGATCCACAACCCGAGAATGATAACACCACAGGTAGAAGATCTACAGAAAGAAAAGGTGGTGATAATTCGGGTTCAAAATCGAAGAGTAAAAAGGATAATGACGTTGATTCTGATGGTTCACAACGCGAGAACGATAACATCTCAGGTAGTAGATTAGCAGAAAGAAAAGGTGGTGATAATTCGGGTTCAGAATCGAAGAGTAAAGAGGAAATTGACGTTGACTACGATAATCCACAACCCGAAAATGATAACACCACAGATAGAAGATCAGCAGAAAGAAAAGATGATGATAATTCGGGTTCAAAATCGAAGAATAAAAAGGATAATGACGTTGATTCTGATGGTTCACAACGCGATGATGATGTTAAAACCACAGGTAGAAGAAGGTTATCAGAAGGAAAAGATGGTGATAATTCAGGTGCAGAATCCATTAATCAAATTAAACCTGCGGATGTATTTCAAGTACCAATTACATCAACTCATCAACGGAAGAGTAATAAGGATGGCAGTGATAACACCACAGGAAGAAGTTCAATAGGATTAAAAGATGACCATAATTCGAATTCAGTATCAAAAAAACAAATTAAACCTGTTACGGATGAAGAATTTCAAGAATTTATGAAAACACCGATAATTTCAAAACTTAAGCAGCATGATGAAGAAGAAGATGAAGAACCATTGTCACAACAAAATAAAAATAAGCAAAATAACTTTCATGGTTCACGACGCAATGATGAAACCAATCAACGCAATAAAAATACTCAATCGCTTTCACAGTCCAATCTTTATGAAAATCGAAAATTTGGATATGGGAACCTCGAAGAAGATCCTAGACAATTTCGTGAGAATCCTAGGAAATTTATTGATAAAGAACGTTATCAAGGGTCAAAACATGAAGACTTACATTATGAGAAGGGGCCCGTGCCCGGTGGATCCGATAAAAATGATGGTTCGCATTCAGGTGATAAAGGATCAGGCAGTCGACTTTACAGTAATGTTCATATGCCTGGTGAATTCAACTCAAACAACAAATATCATTCGCTTACAGAAGTTAGCAATCAACACCAGAGAACCGATAATAAAGGGAAAAGCTTGATATTTAACGTTTGGAATAATTTAACTGGTAATAATAACAATGACGAAAACGAAATAAAAGTCATTTTTCATGTCCATTTACCAAAAGATATTGAAAAAACAGGAAATCCCGTAATTCTTGGCGATGGAAAAGAATTGGGAAATTGGGAAAAACCTAATGTAAAGCTGCGTCAACCATTTCCTCAAAATCCAACATATTGGCAATCTGAACCTGTTATTATTTCGTTTTCTAATATTGAAGAAAGGAATGACATTCAATATAAATTTGCCATTCATATACCCAAATCCTACTATTCTCGTAGAGACGAAAGAACTGTGTTTGAAGGATTTGACAGTCGCGACAATCGTTTGTTGGATATTGCGAGAAATCACCAATTCTGCATATGGCAAAGTAATGATATGTTTCGTCTTTCCAGCACTATTCACGACTTTGCTTTCGTAGACTATATTTATAATACTATAAGAGAAAATAACCTTAAAGAAATAGTTATGGAGTATCAACATTTATTAAATATTCACAGCGATCTTACAATTCGCGCGTCAAATATCAGATTTATTGCCGATCGTATTGATGAAAGATCAAGAAACAAACGGCTTTTCTTATGCCTCCTCTTAGGATATTATATTCCAAGACAACAAGAGATTCTCGGGCATTATGAATTACCTCATACTTTTCCTTCTGGATTACTTCTTGATGAACTCGAGAACTATAAAAACGAAGTCTTACCTTCAGACGCCAAAGATCCAATGTACACCGCTGTTACAACTTTAGTCCAGCATAATGCTTTTAAGATGCAATTTCATTGGCTCAGAATTTTTACGATTGCTGCAGAAGTAGATCCTAATTATACCTTTATGGACCGTTTACGGGCTTTAAAATATTCGAGTGACAATTTATTAGCAAAATTTATTAAGGGAATTGCAGATATTCGTCGTTATGTTGATGGCATTGATTTTGAAAATTACGTTAAACTTGCCAAGGTATGATTTTTAAAAAAAATATATATATATATTTTTTTTTTCCGTAAAGTATTATTAATTTAATATATTTGTTAATATATAGTGGTTAATTCAATTATGTCATAACATGGACTCTCTCTTTAAAATTTGGAGTGATGTTCTTGTGCATGATGACGCATTGGATAAACAAATATTCAAGTCGTTCATTGATCGAGTTCGGGAAAATGTTTCTCATGACGATGCTTATTCCTTAGAGTCCCATTTTAAAAAACTGCACAAACGTTATCGGGATGATGTTTCTGTTGTCTTCCGGAGCCAAGCTTTATTTTTACTTGAAAGCCCAGTTAGAAAGTGGACCGGTCAGAATGTTTTGGCTATACAAAGACTTCTTCAAAATGATGATCTTGACTGGCGTAATGATGACATAATACTATCATTAGAGTTGATATCCCAATCTCATAGTTTGGATTTATTAAATACATTTCCGGAACTTTTGGATGATTGGTTTCGCAGTGGTTTTTCTGATACCAAAAAGAAAAAGATACCAAATATTTGTGTAAATTGGTTTACACTACTTTTGACCAAGCTTGGGACAAATGAAACAAATACGTCAAATGAAAGTAACTTTATTTATGCGGTATTTGAACGATTAGAACGCATGTATCCTTTGCTTGGTAAAAGGATCAATGTTTGGCGAGATTTAACAGAAATTGCCGTAGGAAGAATAAAGGGATGTTCTGAACTTCGAATTTATTCCGCAACAAAATTGATAATGAAAATAAAACAAGATGATGTCAAAAAATTATTTTTAGATATGGTAAAAGAAATATTAAATAAGAACGTTCAACAAATTAATGATCAGTTACTACATAAGATATTTATTATTTGCGATTGCAAAGGAAAATTTCTCGAAATTCCGAATTCGTAAGTTCTTTTCAAAAGAATGCTATAATCAAATTTTTTTTTTTTTTAAAAATTTTAAATTTTGTTAGGATGAGTGAAGATCTTTTGTACCATATAATGACGAGATTACAAGGCCAATCGACAGCATCTAGCCCTTCGGAGTATCATTTAAATATTTTAAAAGCTAATAGATTTTGGAACATTATATTACGCGCTAGCGGAAGTGTCTCAAAGCTTAATGCCAACTCATTTGTTAATAATACTAAAACAAGTATCAACGAACTTGGGGGATTACTTCTTGAGAAAATGATCGATATAAAATTGTTACAACAAATTTTAGAATATCCTGATGAAAAATTATTTCAACATTTCGATGCAGCTGTTGCCAAAAAGAAAATTTTGGGTGTTGTAATAGTCTCTCGAGAAGAAATTGCTAAACTTAGAAAACATTGTAAAGATTATCAACATCAACTCGATATACTTTTCAAGTTTTATAGCGGATTTTGTTCGGCTACTCAAATTACAGATGTAAATGCTTACATTCAGGACGTAAAACAGCATATGCAAAATTCACATAAAGTTATGTTGAAGCAAGTATTAAAATCAGATTACTGGGCTTTCCATGAGAAAACGTTAGACAGTGCAATACGTTGTTACAAATATAACAATGCCCAAACATTCAGGAATATCTTTGATGCTTGTCTTCGAGAAGATGCTGCTGCAACAAATGTAGAATATATAGCTCAAAAATTGATGCCAGTTGTTTTTGAAAGATATTTCACCATGTGCAAACAGTTTAAAGAATGGGAAAAACTCAAATGTTCAGACGCATCTTTGCTCTGGAAAAATGTTACGGACGTTAATGCTGAACTCGATTTAATGGATGGTTATAAATCCTATAAAAACCAAAGATTTGTACAAACTCTTGATCATCTTTCAAAAATTCCTGACTGGATTGGGCGACTAGAACAATTAGAAAAGGTTGTAGAAATTTTCAAAATACCTCATAATGAAGACGATTGGTTATCGAAAGCAATTCGTATTTTAAAAGATGACTCTATGAAGCTTGGTCAAATTAACAATTTTTTCGATTACCTTGATAGAAATCTTTCCAATGTTAATGATGATTGTTGGAAATTGATAAGAGAATTATCAATTGCCGATGACTTTATGAGTTTCTTAAGGAAGATTGCCCAACATGATATTAAAAATTTGATTAATGGGGTCGATGACCATTCAGATGAAAGATTGATCCAAGAGGATACAGTTTCTTCGCTTATTCAGGTCAAACAATTTTTAATTCCTCTTATGGATAAAAGTAAAATGGAATCCGTCGCCGACTTTTTGGTAGAGTTACAACTGGTTATCAAGAAGAACTCTACTCTAGGAAAAAAGATTGCATTATGTAATAATAGCAACATGGCATTACAAAACATGTACAACAACATTTCAAACCGTGGCGAAGTTACAAAAGAAAA